GAGTCCTATTCCAAACCTCCCTCAACTCTTAGAGTAGCAGAAATCTTGAACAACAATTTCTAGGTCCTTCTAGATCAATGAAAATGAATATGGTAGAAGTAAAGTAATAAATTCTTAGACGACAAAACATGTCTAGCTTTAATTACTCTACCCTTGAAAAATATTTACTCTCATCTCTATCATAAGTATGACACACACAGAAATAATCAAAAAATCAACTTCTTACATAAAACTAGTTTATTCTAGGGTAGAACTACAAAATGCTACTCAAAATAATGAGAACTGATAACTACAGGAACGTTTGGTAGATATGTTCATTTTACTTCTGATTGAGCACAAGTCACTATAATCTATCAAATTGTTCATCCCAACTCTTCTGTTTATTCATTAAATGTCTACTGAACACTTGGCATAACATCAAGTCTTTGGGGCAAGCTACAAACACAAGATAGCCCTTTCATTTAGCAAGCTTAGAGTTCAGTGAGAATGCTAGCAAGGGAGCATTACATCACTGTGTGTGGAAATACAAAGCTGTCCAGGCTTTCCATGGAGGCTGTCAAAGACAGCACAAAGCAAATGGCTTTCAACCACATCTAGATGGGATCAACAAGGCCAGCAAAACTGGAAGACATGGAAAAGGAAATTTGTAAGCAGTGAGCCTGGAAATCTAAGGAAGCATGCTGGTGTGCCATGCCGATGACATAAGACCTATATGTAGAGATGTAATAGCCAACATTGTGTGGGTATTAAATGCCAGAGACCATTTTGAGCATTTGATGTTTATTATAATGTTTAATCCTCAAAACAACTATGAAATAAGAAATACTATTATCCTAATTTTCTATATAGACAATGAGGCTCAAAGGGCTTCTCCTGGCATGGAAGCAGAAGAGTAAAGGGGGATGCTTCTATTTCTTTAAACACAAGTTCTCCTTACATGGCCCAAGCTAGCCTTGAACTCATGATTCTCATTGCTGCAGCCCCCTGCCCAATAGACTTGGATTACAGATATGACCACCACACTCAGATCAGGGAGCCCACTTTTAAATAGTTAATTCAGTAGGCAATATACATTTGAGCTAAGAGTTTCATTCCTAAGAAAAATATAGTCCTAGGGAATGTGGAGACAATGATCCATCAGAGACTGTTAAATGGTAGCTAGGTAGTGCAAGCAAAGACTTTTGAGGTTTTATATCATTGTCTCCCTTCACCATATTTGTCAAAGGAAGGTTGTCCAGGGAGTCTGTCATGTTAGTTTTTATTGTAACTTGGCACAGCCTAGATTCCTGGGGAAAGGGAACCTCATTTGAAGAAGTGCCTCCACCAGCTTGTCCTTTGGGCACTTTCTTGATTTCTAAATGATATGAGCGGGGCCAGTCCACTATGGGAAGCACCATCCCTAAGCTGTTGTGCCTGCACTGTATAAAAAAATCTAGCTAAACAGGAAACAGCACTCTTCCATGGTTTCTGCTTGAGTTCCTGCCCTGAAATCCCTGAATCAGTGGTTCTAAACCAGTGGGTTGTGACCCCATTGGGAGTCACATATCAGATATCCTGCAATTCGTAACAGTAGCAAAATTGCAGTTAAGCAGTAACAACAAAATAATTTTATAGTTGGGGTCAGCACAACATGAGGAACTGTATCAAAGGGTTGCAGCATTAGTAAAGTTGAAAAGCACTGCCCTAAAGGATGGAATGCAACCTGTAAGTTGAAATAAATCCCCTTTTTTCTCTCATAAATCACTTTTGGTCATGGTTTTACCACTGTAAGAGAAAGTAAATGAGGGTAAGGCCTTTCTGGAATAACTCCACTGCCCCTCCATCTCACAGCTGTCCTCCATTATGACTTATTAGCAGGAATATTAAATCACATTGAAACACATATGCTAGACCTAAACAAAACAAATCGCAAGCGTTTTCTCATTCATCTTCACTACAGCCACTTGTCCGCAGACTACTCCTTACCACAATTCACAAATGAAAAGCTGATTCTCTGAGTGGACATCTAAATGTACGATTCTTCCTCATAATGCTACCTGTGATTCTCTTCCATCAACTTCTGCTGTATCTCACTCTTCTCTGTATCTGAACTGAGTAACAGCACTGTTCCACAAAACCATGTAAGTTTTCACCGCAGAACCTGAGAGTTGAGAGCGGAGGTGCTTGGCAATCACATTGCCTCTCCTGCCTCCTCTGGACAGATGCTGTGATCCTGTGCCTAGTGATACTCTAGCTGGCACAGAGATTTTCCAAACCCGGGTCAGTATGTTACTCTCATTACGCCCAGGGTGACTGTGGCATATCATTGCTGCAGATGAGACATAGTCAAAGAGCTTGATAATCAGAAAGAGACCAGAGAGGTTCCTCCTAGATCTGTGTGCCTGCTTAGTGAGCCTTGGGCAGCTGACTTCCCCCTTTCTCGGAACTCTTGGCTTCTAAACCACCTCAGCCCCTGGTTCTCTTGCCCTTATACTGTTCCATTAGGTCTTCTTTGCTGAATCTTCCTTATTTCTTGGCTTCTAGAAGTTAGTTACCTAGAGATCCACCTTACATATACCACCTCTACCAAGTCCTCACACAAGCTCATTCCGTCTTAAGACTAAACCCTGTCATGCATCAGCTCCAAGTCAGTGTCTCCCCAGTGGAACTCTCCCTTGAAATTCAGACTGGGCTATCTGTCTAGCTGCCATTGAATTCATCTGTTTGGATAGATACAGGCACTGAGAAAATCAGTCCCCATGACCAGGCCTCTGCTCCTTTCACAAACTTCTTCAACCCTATTCTTTTCTTTCTTTTTTGTGTTGTGTTGGGTTGTGTTGTGTTGGGTTTTGTTTGGGAGTTCTGGTGTTTAAACCTAGGATTTCATACATATTAATCAAGCTCTATGCCACTAAAAATACACCCAATTCATAAAGCGTCTTTCAGTGCAAATTGTGACTCTCATTCTGATGTACTGATAGCCAGGGATTTGAGATTTAGACCTTGTAAAGAACTTTTCAGAACTTCATAGTAAACTCCCACAGAGTGAGAGGCTTTGGCGATGTCAAAATTCCTTTCATTGCTTTTAGTAATTATTAACCCAAACTGAAGGTAGGTTTTTCCAAAAAAGAAAAAGAAAAAAGCAAAGTCATCATGATTACATAATCATGATGGAAATGTTGAAGTTTAGAAAAGGAAAACCTACAACTTAGTAAACAGACTGTAGACTTTGCCTTCAAAGCTATTAACGCTATTAACACACATAGAAATAATTTCACCAGATCTGATCCTCCATGTCTTTCCTGGTCCTCTGGGATAAGCAAAGCACAACAGAAGGATCTGAGGGCTTCTTGATTAAACAGCAACTTTAGTGACATTTAGCAAATTTACTAACATTTGCTGGGCATTGGTGGCGCATGCCTTTAATCCCAGTACTCGAAAGGCAGAGGCAGGCAGATCTCTGTGAGTTCGAGGCTAGCCTGATCTACAGAGCTAGTTCCAGGACAGACTCCAAAACAATACAGTGAAACCCCATCTGGGAGGGTGGGGGGGACGACTAACAAGAAACCAAATTTAGTAACATTTACAAAGAAACTAACATTAGACTAAATGTAACACTTGCAATAGTTTATAAGACTTCAAAATACTTTTTACAGTTTTATTTATGTTTAAGATTACTTCATAGCAATTTCTATAGCTGTATCCACCAACAGTTTCACCTATATTTTAGTATCCATAGAACAGTATGTACTTTAACTGTGGTAGTAAAGCCACATGACTTAACCTAAATTGCCAGATAATCTCAAATCATAACTATGCTTTAAAGACCCTAATTTCCTAACCAAGATAGAAAATCAAGATTAAAAACAAGGGCAGAACCTTTGTATATATGTTTCAATAGGTAAAGGCACTTGTTGCCAAGTCTAACTTCCTGAGTTCAATCCCCAGGACCCACATGGTGGAAGGAGAGTACTGTCTTCTGCAAGTTGTCCTCTGACCTCTGTGTGTGCTTCATGGATGTATGTATACACACACAAACACACAATTAAATTCTTAAAAAATAAAACAACACTTTTATAAGTCGTAAGCACTGAAACCTTTGTTCTAAATTTTTATATATGTAAAAATGTGATAGTATGTATGTATACAAGTGATTTTTAAAGTCCTTTATCCAGTTTTGTTTATAAAATCAATAGGCAAATGTCTCTGGAAACACATGTGTCATCTGGAATAGATGACTGAAGCTCAACCTCAGAATTTTGACTTCCTACCTTAGTACACTTGATTTAGTGATAGCATCTTCTTCTCAAATATATCATAGCCTTCCTTCCTCCCTCTCTCCCTTTTCCCCTCCTTCCCTCTCTCTTCCTCTCCCTCTTCTTCTCCCTCTCCCCCTCCTCTCTCTCTCTGTCTCGGTCTCTCTCTCTTTCTCTCCCTCTCTCTTTCTCTATCTGAATATGTTATATGCATGTTTATGCACAGGTGTATAATGGGCAAGTATACACTTGAGGCCAGAGGAAGACATCAGGCACCCTGCTCCATTACTCTCCACCTCATTTTATAGAAAAAGGGTCAGTTGCTGAACCCAGAGCTAGGCTAGTAGCAAGCAAGCTCCAGAGATGCCAGCATGGTACTAAGGATACAAACTTTGTACGTGGTTCAGGGAACTTGAACTCAGGTTTTCATGCCATCTCCCTTAGCATCCTTTTAATTGGCACAAACTAATTTGGTTATATATTTGGCAACATCTTAAGGTAACTGAATTGAGAATGAATGTACTGTGTTTTAGAGAATGGGTACTCTTCAGTTTTTGTTTCTAAAAGTTTAACATTTTAAAATTATGTATAATTATAAAAGCATAATTTTAAATACTTTTGGCAAGGCTTGTTTGAATGAAGCTCCTGGCAGCTATAACCTTAATGATTCACTTACAGGCCTATCCTAAAGATGCTCTTCACATGAAGGACAGTTGTGGACTTGGCTATAGCAATTTACTTAATTTATCTTAAATTTGGTTTCAGTGAGCAACCCTAATTAACCTGATTTTTTGCTGATAATCACTGTCAATGGAATCAAATCACAAATCCGGGGATGGATTGAGCGGCACCCAGAAGGAAGCAGCCCTCCGCGCATTGGTCCAGCGCACAGGATATAGCTTGGTCCAGGTAGGAACTTCTTGTGATGTCTGCTGAGACTTGACACTGAATTCAAAGTCCTGGAAACATTAGTGTCCCTTGATGCAGAATTCAGGCAGTCCCTGCACACTTCTCACAGAGCTGTCTTTTCAGCTCTGAAGGTGACCTTGTAGATGAAATTCTTTCTCCCCTAGATTATACACTCAACCTTAACTTGTTTCTTGAAAAATTGAACCATTATCCACAGTCACAGAGACTATTATAGTTTTGAAAGGACATTTTACCATGTGAAAAGGCAGCTAGAACCCACAGTTCCTAGTGAGGGTGAACTCAGATAATGTTATAGGAATTGGTAGAGAACAAAGGCCCTTGCACATGAAGGAAAACTCCAAGATGTGGCTTCCAGGAAGGTAACATTTGGTCAGCTGAGCTATTCCAGCTTGTCCAATCTAGAGCATATAACAGTAATGTCTGTCCATGTTGGCCCATTGAAAAAACAAAACAGGGGCCACAAAATGCTAATTGTTAGGAATTATTTACATATGCTCATTGTCATTGTGGTAATTTCTTTTAGGGAATATATGCAACATTAAGGAGTTGTCTGGTGTTAGATACATAAAAATTATCTCAGAATACACAATGCCCCTTTAGTAGTGAAACACTGTGGATTCACCAACCACTGATTTTCACCCACATACTTTTCCAACAAACTCAAATCCACCAACCATTATCAACACAAATGGTACATCTAAGTAGGGATAAAACATGCCAGTCCTGCTTTTTATTAGCTGTGCTATTGTTAGATTATTAAGAATGTCCTAGGTTTACTTATGCTAATACTATAAATCATATATGCATTGTTATGCATGATACAATGCCTCAATGATTTATATTTTTCATTCCAATAAAGAGTGCTATTCAAGCTTTTTCTTTTTAAATGTTTCATGAGCTTTTGTTATTCCATGGTTGGCTTTTTAAAGTTTCATTAAGTCAAGGGAGACACTGAGATATTTGCTATAGTACTTACCAAAAGCTGAGCTATTTTAGAATCAATGAACTGTAAAAGTTTTTATCTCTAAAATGAATGGATAATTCAAATATTTATGTATCTTTATATTACACTAAAACAATCACTGACAGTGCTAAAGAATTTAGTCTATAAAGCAATTAAGTTTAATGTAACTTGTTTTTCACATGTCTTCAAGCACAGTTAACTGTAAAGATGGTCTCACTTTTTTAAAAAATAAGATGGTTTTTCATAATTTTTATCGATAAATTCTTCCATAAATATTTTAAAATACATACATATATATGTATATACATATATCTATGTATACTTACACACATGCATATATATGTATATACATATATCTATGTATACATACACACATGCATATATATATATACATACATATATATATATATATATATATATATATATATCATATATATCCTCAGGCCTGAAACATTTATTCAGGGATTTGACCACTTTTAGAACCTATTAGTCAATCTTTAGGCACATAAGAGTAGTTCACCTCTCTGGTGGTATATAACATGATAGAAGTAAGTAAAAATCTGTCAAAAACACCATAGAATACCTTGCTATCACAAACCTAAGCAGATGAAAGTAAGGAAATGCTTAAATAAATTATGACTGCATAGCCACTGTTATCAACAAGCAAAATTTAAGTGGAAACTCCTACATCATAAACTGCCCGTTTAACTTTATTCTCTAAGCAGGCACACCCCCCCCCCACATAGGGTTAGGTAAGCCTCATAATATTTTAGTAATATTTATGTAATAAGAGTTTCCTTGTGAAAATGATGATATTTCCGTCAAATATAATTATTATGAGTCAACATTCTGCCCCTTCCTATAGGTATCAGAGTAGGAAAGAATTTCTATTTCCTGGTCTAGTCCTTCTCTGTTAACTACAAGTTCTCACTTGGCCTTGAAGCAGCAGGATGGATGAAGCAAAAGAGAGCAGGGAGGGGGTTATGCTTCACCAGTTCTGGCCCAGGGATCTGAGGAACTATAGCTGTAGTGACCCTCTGTATGATCACAGACACAGCCCAATTTCCCTGCCAGAGGACTCTCCTCCACTGAGTTCATCTAGATAGCAGCCACCTCTTGAGAAGATGGAAGATAAGCCATGATAGTCATTTTAGAAGTACATATATCTAGGCCTTCAAAAACTACCTTGTTGGAACTTAATGAAGCTCTACTGAAGTATGTTTTGATAGCAGAATGATTATTGAGTCTGAAGTTCTCCAATAACATGGAAGGCTAGCATTCCAAAAAACTAGTTGCTTAGTCCTAATAGTTCCAATAAATGTGATATATGTAAATACATGCATAATAAATCATTTTGAATCAGAAATCTCTCCTGATTTGGGCTGCAGAATATAGAAATGACACAATCAGAAGGCCTATAAGCTCACCTACTCCTTATCAAATGTGAAGTGTATGATCATGAACAAGTTTCCTAGTTTCTGGAGACCTTAACTTCCCCTAAAGTCAGTAAGGTCCAACCCTACACTTTTAGCCTTGATTTTGTCTGAGTGTGCTCATGGTCAGCTAATTGAATTCTTTAGGTGAAAGAATAGACCTGTGTACCAAGACAAAACCTCAGGCTCTATGATTTAAGAAAAGTTCCTTCATCTTCCTAATACTTCAGCATTCCTCTGCTGGGATAAAAGAATGACTGATACCAAAAAGTCAGAAGACAGCCTCAGCTTTTTGTTGTTTTTTGTTTGTTTTAAATCTCTGAACAAAAAATGAAGGTGTTAGTTAACTCCTGACTTGAAGGAATTGCTTTTCTGTGTCTTTCCAGTATGGTATCACATTCAAAGCACAGAGGTGACGGGTTTGTGTTTTCTTATCACCAGTAGGACAAACACAGTTATCAAAAATAGAATTTACAAGTTACTTAATAACATAAGCTAGCCCTTAATGTGGCAACTGATGCAACAACGCGTGCTTATGAGGATTAAGAGCAGAAGTTGTAACATCTCCCTTTATATAACTGAATATTCTTGGATATTAGTGTCTGAACATTTCATCAAAGTCCTTTGGGGACTAAGAAACACAATGCTGCATTCTTAAAACAGAAAGATTTAAATAATTGTTACTTCAAAACTTTTGTATAAAGGTAACGAGTTAAACTTTAAACTCCATAGCAGCACTACGTGATATAGAAATATCTGGAAATTGTGCTGCAGTGTTACAGTTTAAACAGCCTTTGCCTCTGGGTGGTGAGGTTATTTGAGGTTTTTTTGTTTTTTTTTCTATTTTCTACACCTAGTTATATTTCCTAGATTTCAAAAGCCAGCAAATATTGTTTTTAGGAGAATCAAGGGAAAATATCCTGCATTCCAAGAGTAGGAGATTTCAGATTCCTATAGTCAAGAAAAGATTTGAACAGGTCATTCAATAAACTGACTCCAGCAACTAAGAATAACGTGACGTGGAAAAGTGTCTATACCTTAACATTTAATTTTATAACCTGAATGTTTTAGATAACATTTAAGAAATTATCTATACATGAATTTAAAACTGGAAAATATTCTCTCTGACTAAGTACATTTTTTTTCATGTCTGATATTTTCTTTATTTTCCAGTCTTTCCACAGTGACTATGGATTATTTGAGGGGGAAAGTACCCTAAAGTAGAAAAATTTATAATAATTACTCATGGGAAAATTGAACAGTTTTCATAGAGAGAATTTCACTATTTAATCTGGAGTTATTGAGCAAATCTTTGTTTAATATTTGTTTCATATTGAAAGAGTCCAAACCTTCTCTTCACAGTTAAGACTGCCCTAGGATTACACACCATAGACTGGCGAACAGTCAAGTGTAGCTATAGTCTGTATCTAAACTCAACATTGTACGCAAATGGGCTTTATATTTCAAAGGGTTAATATTTTGTTTAAAAGCCTAAAATGTCAACTATCTGATGTGTTTTCTGATCTCAAATGGTAACCTTAATCTAGAACTCTGTTCCATAAACTAAACCACAATTTTTAAGAAAATTTTTCCAACATAAATAAAAAGTGGTATGTCCAAAACTAGCAGTGAAGAAGGAGGAGGAGGAGAAGAAATAAAAAGGAGAATAACATGACCACTTGTAAAGTGTGGAGAAGATTTTTATTGTGAGATAAGGAAGAGAGTAGGTAGAGGAAGAGTTCAAGTGTAACGTGGCTGGCAGACTAACCCAGACGGTGAAAGAAAGGGAAAGCAAGAGAGGAATCACTACAAAACAGGAGGAGTTGTCTGGGCCAAGAGGCCAAGAGGGGAAAGGGTTTTTTAACACTAGAATAGGCAAAATGACTGGATTATATAGGGAAGAGTCACTGAGGAAAGGGAAGCCCAATCCACTCACTCCCTGAGGGGTTGGGGCTAGAGAAGATTAGGGTAGGAGGCAGGTTTGCTCCTGTAACAGATAAGGACTGAAGGATGCTGGGAGAAGCTGGCAGTCTAGTCTGCTTTGGTATGTTAAATAGACACCCCAATCAGCCATTTGTTCTGGGAAGTAGATGCAACCTTTATTATTTCCCCCATTTATGCTAACTCAAGTACCTAGCCTCTTATTGATACATTGATTGACTCCGCAAAGAGGACTGTGGTGTCTACCTTTGTGAAGATTATTCTCATTGGAAAACAGGAAGCAAGCAAGAAAAGCAGCGGCAATCAAAGATTGTCAGTTCCTAGGATTTGAATCATAAACCAGGTTGCATGACAGAAGCAGGTGACCTTCTTCAGACAAGATGTCACTGTTAGAACATCTCAAAGAGCCACGAAGATGCCATCACTGCTGCCACAGGGAACTGCACCTTAACCAAAATATTCACCAAATGGGAAACATGTTTGGGAAGTGAAGACATTTGTTTCAAAGAATGCCACATTAAAATGATGCAAGTTGGCCTCACTTCCCTTTAATAGGGCATGCATGTGTCTAGTTACTGTAACAATACCCCATCTTTATTTTTTTTTTCCTAAGACAGGGTTTCTCTGTGTTGCTTTGGAGC